AAAAGCGAAGTTGCTATAACATAGTGAGCATACTAAGTTTTAAAGTCAAGTAACGAACTCTGAAATTATTATACTTTTTTATTTTGCTTTTTCAAATTTATTATTTTTTGAAACCATTATTTCAATAGCATAATAATATTTTGTTTATCAAAATTAGCTGTGTCTTTCCAAGATTACATTGTCCAAGTGAATCATTGCCTTTTAACCTATACTTTCATCGTAACAAACTCCAAGATTATATTAGTGGATTTCAAATATCAAATACCTGATATTACACTGTCTATTTTAATTGCCATCTTCAGTTATTTCTGATCCAGCTTTCTAAATGTAAATTAATCAAAATTATCATTATATAAAACCAACTACGCATATATATGGGTATTTGCTATAAAAATGACCCTCTGACATATTGATTTACATAGTATCTGTAGGTATTCTTATGGCAAAAATTCCATATACATATTTTTCTTCTAATAATATGTAAAGCTTACATGCAAATTATGAGTAACACTTAATTATTTCAAGTAAAAAGTTGATCTTTCTTTTTTGTTTCTTCATTAAACTCAGAGCCATTATTCAAATGATTAAAAAGTAAATCGATAAGAACTGATTTTTTTTTTTTATCTTTAATAGTTTATTTTAAAACGCTTGAACAAGAATCATTAGGTCAGATAATGTAAATGCCTTCTCGAATACACTTTTAGCACCATTATCTCGAGCCCAAATCTTAAGCTAACCAAGTGCTAACTCAAGATTTTCTGGTAGCATCCCTTTCTTAAATGTAACAAGTTTCGTTTTTGGTTGATCATCTTTTTTTGCATTATTTTTTAAATCTATACCCATTGCCTTGACATTCTCTCATAAACAAGATGAACCTTTTTCTGGAATATATTCCTTAAATCGTCACTAGGACTGTTGCCTGCTTCGCATGTAAATTTTAATCAAACGCACCAATAGATAGTCTTCAGCTTCTTGTGATAATTGAATACTGTTATGTATAAATTCTGGAAATAATTCTTTATTTTTATATTCAGCATTATAATAAAATTCATATGCTATTTGCAAAAGGTCATTAAACTGCTTCTTTAAAGGTTGATTGCTTACAAGATTATTATCGATATAAATTAGAATATCTGGCCCATACTCTATGTGTTTTTCAAACAGCTAAAAAATAAGCGACTCTAAATAATACATGAATTGAATAAAATCAGCTCCTGGAATAACTATTGTCGTCTTTGAATGAGTATCACATATATATTCTACTTGCTCAGAGCTAAGAACATTTAAACATGATTCGATTTTTGCAAATTCTTCATGTGCTAATGTTAATCTATCACTTTTTGTTAATTTGTAGATAGTCCATCTGATAATATACTGAAATTTTGATGTCTCGGCAGGTTCCAGGTCAATAATTTTTCCAGGTATAACCCATGAATCAGTATGATTTATAAAAAGTTGATCATGATACTGTCTGTTGTGTACTTGTCTAAATGTGATTCTTATAATTTTTTCAAGTAATATATAGGCTATCAATCGTTGGGTTTCTACTTTAATATTATCCGGGGCCAACAGTTGAAAGTCATTAAACCAATCACCCGCATACTTGTAATTATTTAATCAACTTTCCAGATTTGTTGACCATGTTGTAAACCAATAGATATTTTTTTTGTGGAACTGAATCTAATGCCATTTGACGAATATTTTTAGACCAAGTTACCAAAAGATTCTCTACACCATCCTTATATAACAACCATTCAATTAATCATACTCTTTCAAGCTGCAAGCAATTAATAGTTTTATTTTCTATTCTAATACTTTCATTATTTGAAGATAGTAGCAGCTGCATTCGTCCCATTACCAGATCATCATTAAGAAGTAAGTTCTTGAAATATTTGGTAGCTGAAAGTAGAGAGCATTTCAATTTGGATTTTATGGTGATTATATGCTTCTAAATTCTGCTCGTTAGGTTTTACAGTTGTTCGATAATCTCTAGAAAAAAAAAAGTTATTTTAAAACTTATTGATAAATTTGCATAAGCAAAAATTACCTTTGTTTTAAATCAGCAAGCACACAGCCCAAACTATCAGCTAAACCATAATTCAAGCTTTGTATTTCTGATGTCATTTGTATTGTAATTGTTAACTTGTTCATTGCATATCCATAGGATTGAACCATATATGTAGAAGAGTCACCAGCCATTTCTCTAATTGATCTGAATAAACCTTTAAGCATATCCTGAGATAGTCTTCTTGGTTGAATTATAGCATCTGGCCAATTAGTAAGTATATATTCTATGATTTCAAGAAATCCATTTATTGATAAAATCAAATCAAACTGGCATTGCGCGAAAAACCATTGACTTGAATCTTTCTTTTGTTTATCACCTTGAATGAACCATTGTTTTATTTCCTTCAAGGTGTTCAAATGTGGATCTTCAAGAGAAGAAATACATATTCGACTATGTGTAATATCTCGATACATACGTGCATAGTGAATAAATAATTAGTGATATGCAACAGTGTATTAATTTTAGATAATGACAAATAAATAATATCGAGTTTTAAAACTACTAGGCCACTTTTAACTCAAAAGTTCTAAGTTTTGAATACAAATTTTTCTAAATTGAAAGAAAAAAGACTATCCAAAAAAAATTTTAACTCAAAGTACTAAATACTATCCTTCCTTTAATAAATAACATCATTCGACGTTCTCTGATGATCACGTCAGGAGATTTAAATAAATAAATAAATCAATAAAAAAAAAAAGACTATTTTAGCTTAAATCAAAAAAAAAAAACTACAAATCTGAGTGCCTTGAGAAATGTGATTTAACTCTGGAATATTTGCCATTGCTTTTTTGACATCGAACGACAGTGTATATTCCGCAAGGTCTACTCTCATTTTGCTCCAAGAGGTAAGCCAAATATGTCATTTAGTCAATTTAGTAGCTTTTGCTATCTCATGTTTGGCTGTATGGTGATATACTTCTTGAAAATATCGCCAGCTGATTTCTCATCATACGCCGAACGAATATCATGAAGTAGAGACCTCTATTTATACAATTCAACTTTTCTAGTAGTTTCAATCATAACTTCGATATCCAAATAATTATCTACTGAGATTTCAGTAAGCACTTTACCGGGATACCATTTATTACTATGTGTATTTCGAACTTCACATTGATCACCAATATTCCAAATAATTTTTTTTGGCATTGGAGATTATAAGGCTGAACGTGAAACACTATAAATTGGTAAGACATCTGATAGCTGAACTAAAAATTTGATACGTTTTAAGTTAAAAAAAATTATTTTAGCTGGTTGATAATTCTTTTGCCCTGGCTTGTTTGACAATTGAACTTCTACTTCATCATTCACCTTCTAAATTGTTGCAAACCAATCAAAGCTCTTAATGTGTTTTCGGTTTTCACCTGCTCCATCACATACAGAACCACATATATAAATTGCAACACATTCAAGCTTAGCAGCCAGGTGAAAAAGAATTGTATTAAGGGTATGAACACTTATTGTTTTAACACCAAAATAAGCTATTAGAAAATTAAAGGAGTGGGATACTGAATGCTATATGATTTGATAAATTTGGGTTGCTAAAGTCCGCTCCCGGTCTTTTTTTTCTGCTGCTTCTTCATACTTAATATGATTATTCGTACATTCTGAGCCTTGAATTTTGTAGAAACATTGTTCACCAAATACTTCAAATTCAGCATTCTCATTGTCAAAGTCAACATATCCGACATATCTATTGTCACATTGACTCCAAAGAAGTCTTATAATTAAAAAAACAATTCAATCTAATAATAAATTTTTTATAATGACTTTTTTTTTTTTTTACTCTTCTAACCTTTTTGAATTTTAAATGAATCATGCAAAAAGAAACCAAGGTGTGCATAACCCCAAACATTATTGGTCTCTATATTAACCACCATTCTCTTTACTACTTTATCTTGCCAACCTGTATGTTGTTCAGTTTCATTAATGTAGCTTTTGAGTGTTGATAATGATGGCATCCGAATGACCGACTTCATCGCTTTGTATGCAGTAGGGCTTCTACTGTAAATTGAAATTGCTCACCGAATAAACCTGCAATAATACAATTATTAAAATTTTTTCTTGGAGAATATCATTCTTATTTTTACTTACATAAGATGATATCGTACTCCTTTTGGTTTTTTACTTTGCATATGGACAAGTTCTTTTAAAATAATATTTGATATATTTTCATGTTTTTCGTTTAGAACTTCATTAACAACATTGTGAACAACACTTATTAATAGCTCTGATACTTGTTCTTCTTCTGCTTCAAATTTTAGCTTTAAACAGTCACGAAGACTTTCAACTAACTCTTTTTATGTTCAAATTGTCTGAAATAATGATTTTATTTAATAATGAAAATAATTATTATTTATTAAATTCATATTAACTAAAAATAAATACTTTTCGAGCTTTTTAAACAATTTTAGCTAGAAATTCTCTAAAAGCGTGTGATGTTTTAACGGATTGAATGCCATTTTTATATCGGTTTTCAATTTGATATAATGTGTTATGTGGGGTGTTTTCAATTAAAAGGACCCATTTTTACATTTATCTCATTTCGAGATAATTGAGTTTAAACATTTGTTTTGATTTTCGGACTGATC